CAAATACAATTATAAGCAAAATATACTAAAATACACCGTTTGTGAGACGAGACCTCAATTTGGTTTTGAAGGCAACGGTGTCCTCGCCGTTGAAAGTGCCGCCCAAAGAGAGAATGGCTAAGAATTCCAGTCCTAACGCTAAGGACATCAATCCTTTATGGAGTTTAATGAGAAACTTTTCGCGAACAAACTCTTCGGAATCCAAGAGAACTGTAGCCAATGAATGCCATTGTTCTGCTGACATTATCGATAGAGTGGTCGACGGGTTTTGAACCATTGAAGTGTTGTCGCCATTGCTCGACACCGAAGTGATGGCATCGTTGGACGCGATCTTCAGAATGCCGAGAGCGGCCGCCAGTCTTAAGTGAGCCCTTTCTAGTGAAGTTCCGCCCAAATTTTGTTCATTCAAATCACCGCCGGTTGAAAGGATTGTCTTTAAGAGTTTCAGAGTATTTGACGCTGTTTTTTGATATTGTGCTAAATATAAAAAGGTTTAATATTAGACTTCGTCATCAATTAATGCAATTATAAAATGGTTTACCGATCACGTCGTGTTGATTCTCAGGCAAAACTGTTCAAATAAATTGTATTAAAACGAGTAAACATTATACAAATAACAAGTCATACAACTAACCGACTAATGTATTGATTTTCATGCCATACAACCATCTGACCATCAATTTGATTGCTTCGATTTTGGCTTTCGCTTCTTCGCTGCAATACTCGTAAGTAATCAAAGGATCCGTGTTTTCTGATTCAATCATAACAATAGTTAGAATATAATTCTGTTTAAGACAAAAGCGCAAACCTCTCTGTCTTTCGCTCTCTTCCAACGCATTGATTTCGTGTTCAGTTTTCATGTCTTTCATAAGCAATCCCTGAACAATGAACTTCTGGATTATAGAGCGAAGAACTTTGGGAAAGAATGAGTGACCGCCGCAGATGGCTATCATTCCCAGTGTAACCAAATGGCTCCGGAAATACGGAGACGTTTCCAGTGATAAACCGCTCGCCTTTTTAATCATTGTTTCAATTAATTTATAGCAACATTAATATTGATATAATTCAATATAAAAAGTATAAATTACTTTTATCTGATCGATAATCTCTCCAAAGATTCTCATCTTTTCATTTTCGTCGCCAATTATAGCGTTTAAGCACTGAATGGCATACTTTGCCTGCTTTGATGTCGACGCTAGAAATGACACAAACATATTGTAAATATATTGCACTTCACTTGCAATATGACGACTCGATTACCTTTCAAAACAAATCGATCGACGAGTCGTGGTATGACATCATCGGCGGCCCACCACGGGATCGACACACACTCCGAGTCATCCATTCCGCCTTCAGCGCCAGCAGAAGCGCCGATATTTGTCAATATCTGGAGTATTAGTTCAGAGACTTGGTGTTGATCTCCGCTTTGCCATAAGAACGGCAACAAATATGTCGTGAAGATCTCTCTTCCGTGAAAGAGTGCCGGAAATACAGACGAAAGACTCTAAACAATCAAATATACAAAGCATAAGAAAAGATTCAAATTAAAATAATTCGCACATAAATGAGTTGAAGTCCCCGTTTGGCAGAGTTATCGACACCCATCTCACTGTCCAGTTCTCCGTCGCCCAGAAGTGAATCCGAAACATAATTGAATAAAGTTAGCAGACCTTCACAATGGATAAAACAAAACGTATATTAATTTTAAGACGTGATTGTTTTCAATCATATTTAAAGCATAAAAAGTGGTGCAACTCATACCCTGATGGTCGACCATAATTGGAGCGATTCGTTCCATCAGTTGTTTTATAATCATATAAAACGAGTTCGTCTGAACGGGAAACCCAAGCGATTTCAACACTTCCCTAACGCTGGCCTCAATGGTAGAACTCGGGGGCGGAAGTAAAGGCAAGCCGTCCTCTCCCATCTGTGGGAACGAAGTCGATGTGACGATCAGTTCCATGTGCTCTCTTAAGGCCGGATTCATTTCTAACAATAGTTATTAAATTAATTCAAAATGTAAACGCCATTCAAATTGAGTGCAAACCTAAGTTTCTACATAATTTGGTGATGTATTCGTCAGCTTTGACGGGTTCGGGCAAATTCTTCGCACAAATCTGTACTTTTTGTTTAATGAGTTGATCTCTTTCATCAGTTTTCTCTTCTCTGTAAGAGTTAACGATTGATAAAAATGCATTAATAAATGAGTCCACAATTGGATAACTAAATACAAACCTGAGAAGATCGAGAACTTCTTTGACTTGTCTGCGGACACACTGTTGCTGTCGAAGCAGTTCATTGAAAGCTCGGGCCGCGTGTGAGTCGATCGTACAGTAAAAGGTATAAAGACTTTTCATTCTCTGAGGCAATGGTAGTGAGTATGGGATGAGACACGTGTGGAGAATACGTTCGACCAAAAGTCTATACAAATCAATCATTTAATACTATTGTTTCGTTTCAAATATCGTATCGAAACAAACCGATCGTCGAGTTGTGTTTGATAATTGATATAATTGTGAAGACATTTGTTTTTAATCCAATTAAGCATTTTTAGGGACGAGTTGGCGCTCTCAGAGACATTGGATGTGTCTAAAGAATCATTCGACTCTCCAATTGCGGACACATTATAGAGTTTATAGAGTTGAGCCATTCCTAGAAGCGCCTCACGTCTGATCTTAAACTTTTTGTCTAAAGTTCTCTCCTTTTAAAAACAGTATTCAAAGCAAAGGCAATGATTGTAATGATTTAAACAGCAATTTAAAGTTTGAGATAAAAGTAGAAAATAACGTGCGATAAATCAGAGCCATGGAAGTGTCATATCATTTAATAATACAGTATATTCTTATTATTATAATAATAAAATTAGTCATCATTTAAGGGATAGTAAATCCAATCACCATTACATCAGAAGATAATATTTTATATCATTTAATAAGAAGTTAGACATACCTTAACGAAACTCAAGAGATCTTCATTGATATTCTCGATGCTCTTTTTAGCGGCGCTTATGATAGCCATAACCACTTCGTATCTGACATTCTCGTCAGAATCGTGTTGACGTTGTCTTTAAACACGCAATTATGGCATATATTAATCAATTTAAAGTTAATTTACAAACTATATCCCAAATAATACCTTAATTGGTCTCTGATATCATCCCTCAGTTCCGAATGATTGACCAGAAAATGCATAGAATACTGAACGCAACGCATTCTTACGGTTACACTAATGTCGCGGAATCTTCCGAGAAATGATTTCCACAAATCGGGATAGAGTTCCGCCAAACTTGACTCCTTGTCCGAGAAGAGTCGGGCCAATAGTTTCGTGTAATCGCACCGCTCTTTCTCGTCAATGCTCTTCACTTTAAACTCCAATTGAGGCAAAATTCCTGACAATCAGATCAGAACTATAAATATGAATCGAAATAATAATCAAAGTGCGACAAACCATCCATAATATTGGGACAAATGTGGTTGAGTTCGTATATAAGTTCGCAGATCTGAGTGACTGATGTGGAAACGGACGCGTTCTTTGAATTACGGGATCCTTTAGCGGCCGGCTTTTGGTAGACAACAGCACTCGTCTCTTCGTCGCCGTCAATATCGCCGGCGTTATCATCGATGCCATGAGTGATGGCATTCGTGAAATACGACACCAGATATGGTTCCATAGTTTTGTTGGTCTTCTTCAGGATCTGAACGGCCAACCAATTCGCCTGTTTGTTCATTGTCTTCTTGGGATCAATTATGTGCCACAGAATTATCTCAATCAGTTTCGATGAGACGGTATCCGCTTCTATGATCAGTGGTGTCAACATATCCAGCATAAAGTTCTTCACTTTGTCGCTGTGGTTCTCATTCACAATCTATACATCACATCAGTCAAAGAGTTATCAACAAAAACTATTCATTCAAAGTATCACAATTGATGCAAACCTTAAATATCAATGAAAACAATTGGGCAAAAATACTTTGCGAGTCCTCGAGTTCGATGCATATGTTGAACGACTTAACCCACGCCAGGTTCTGCTCAATCCATTCAATCATTAGTACTTAAATTCATTGTTCAAATAGTTATCATTCATTACCTCCAAGAGATAGAAATAGCGCTTAAAAGTGGCGTCTTTTGAATCTTGTAATCCCTTTTTGTAAATAAAATGACAAATAAATCATTCAAAACCCAATCATAACAACAAAATGTTTAAATCATATACTTTTAACTGTTGAATAAAGAAGAGAAATATATGTTTGATGAGCTCCGGGTGTTGATAGGGAGCGTTGGGTGCGTACACACGGAACACGTCGGCAATGGCACAGGCGACCAGAAGCCGCACATCACGGGACGGGTGCTCCAGAAAGTAATCGCTCGCTATATATATGGTTAACGTTTAACTCATTTGATGACAAACTTTTAGTTATTATCATAATTTTCATACACAGATAGAGAGCCAATGGTATAAAACTGCTGTTGTCTTCCTCCTGAGACATCTGCTGGTATGCCATCGCTATGTCCTTCAGTCTAATTCAGACAACAAAAACATATTGTCAATCATTTGAATAACAATTTGACACTAAATATATTGCAATTATAGTAACCAACGCTTAATCCAAGGCATAACTGCTATCCTGTAATGTATTTCTATCAAAATGTATAACTTGTTTAAAAGTGTTAACTAACTATTAATTACAATTATAACTTTTATCTAGTGTTTACAGTAAATTGAACAGTTTGACTATTGTGTGATTAAATGTGCTAGATCAATTGTAATTATTGAAATAACGGTTACAATTGTGTCAATACATGACAAACTAATTTCAATGGCAAAACCAGTGCTCATTTCAATGCCTCACTAAATGACATCAATTGTACGACAAATACATTGATATCTAAATTAAATATCAAATCAAATGTAATAATAATTTCAATATAAATGTCATTGAAATCAATGAATGAGTGCTTGATTTGAGCGCCAATTAAGTCATAAATCATTGGCTTTAAAAGTGACTCAAAGAGCGCTCATCGGATCAAATGACAGATAACAAGTCATCGGCGGTGCAGTGATTAGGCAGTCATGCGGTTGTGTGGCATACCTTCTGATGAGGTCATCGGTGGGCAGTTCTTCGTTGATGTCTCGACAACCGGTCGGATATTTGATGTCTTTATGGTTTTGCGAAGACATTGCGCTTTGTTTTGGCATTTGTTGTCAAACTTATACTCTTGTAATCGGTTTGCAGTCAACCATCAAATGGTAACCATTTTGAGACACAAATGAGACACTAATCGAGTTTACAATTGTCTTTGGATTCAATGAAACACTGGTTTTAGTGATAATTGCAATCAATTGTTGAGCGAAACAAACAAAAACACCAACACTTGTGTCGTTCAGTGCATCCAATGGTTCCCTTTGTCACCGCTAGGGATCTAATGGCCTCACAATCGCCACCCAATGACCAATGCATGCCTACAACCGCACCCACACGTGCTCTGCTGGGCCCACACGTGCATCACCTGAGCTGATCCGTGTGTTGAGGTTATGACTAATTGTGATAATCGGCAAAAAGCGTGCAATCGATGCAAAACCGGCACATCTTTTGGCCATTCGTTCAGTAATTATGTTTCACTTATGAGTCAAACAATGCATTCATTTGTTGCGCAAAACTATTGCTTTATTTGGACGTAATTTACGACAAATTACGCCATATTTTGCAATCATTTGCCAACTCTTCACACCATTTGATCCCAACATTTGAATTATCTGTTAAACAAGTGATGGAAAGCGAGACAACTGTCAACGATGTGGTGGACATCGCTTCGGAGGAATTGGAGGCGGCCTTCAGCCAGTGGTCCATCAGTGAAGACGTGGCGAAAGCCGAAGACGTTGTGGACAAGCGTGTGATACCCGGAGGAAGAAACGTATTGATCACTTCGGCTCTTCCGTATGTCAATAATGTGCCGCATTTGGGAAACATTATCGGATCCATACTCAGCGCCGACGTCTTCGCCCGGTATTCACGACTGAAAGGCGTGAACACACTGTACGCCACGGGAACCGATGAATACGGAACGGCCACAGAGAATAAAGCTCTCGAGGAAGGGGTCACACCCAAAGAAATCTGTGATAAGTATTACAAAATACATAAAGATATCTACGATTGGTTTGACATTTCGTACGACTATTTCGGCCGCACGACGACTGAAGAGCAGACAGCGATCGCTCAGCAGATCTTCTGGAGACTCCATGAGAACCAATACCTTCTGGAAGAAGTGACACAACAACTGCATTGTCCGAAATGTGACCGCTTTCTGGTGGCCGCACGACGACTGAAGAGCAGACAGCGATCGCTCAGCAGATCTTCTGGAGACTCCATGAGAACCAATACCTTCTGGAAGAAGTGACACAACAACTGCATTGTCCGAAATGTGACCGCTTTCTGGCGGACCGGTTCGTTGAGGGCAACTGTCCCTTCTGTGACTACTGTGAGGCGCGCGGAGACCAGTGCGACAAATGCGGGAAATTGATTAATGCCATTGAACTCAAAGAACCCAAATGTAAACTCTGTTCGACAACACCGCAGATCCGGTCGTCGAAGCATTTGTTTCTCGATTTGCCGAAACTTCAGCCGAAGATCGAGGAGTGGTTTAAAGAGACGACTCAATCAAAGGAGAACTATTGGTCGCAAACGGCAAAAGTGATCGCCAGCTCATGGCTTAGGGATGGACTCAAACCGCGTTGTATTACACGCGACCTGAAGTGGGGAACACCTGTGCCTTTGGAGGGCTTCACCGATAAGGTATTCTACGTCTGGTACGACGCGCCCATTGGCTATCCATCGATTACAGCCCATCATAACAAGCATTGGGAGGAGTGGTGGAAGAATCCCGAAGACGTGACACTTTACCAGTTTATAGGCAAAGATAACGTTCCCTTTCACGGCATTATATTCCCCGCCTCTGAGATCGGCACTCACGACAAGTGGACAATTGTTAACCACTTATCGGCCGTCGAGTATCTAAACTATGAAGACTCGAAGTTCTCGAAGAGTAGAGGCGTTGGTGTATTCGGTGACAACGCGAGGGACACCGGAATACCGTCCGACATCTGGCGCTTCTATTTGCTGTATATTAGACCCGAATCACAGGACACGACATTCAGTTGGACTGATTTGATGAACAAAAACAACTCAGAATTGTTGAACAATTTGGGAAACTTTATCAATAGAGCGCTTGTCTTTATTAACAATAACTTCGATTCAACGATTCCTGAAATGACATTCCAGTCGTCGGATAAGACACTGTTGGCCAGAATTAACCGAGAATTAGTGCATTACTTTGATTTGATGGACAAAATCAAACTCAGAGATGGTATTCGACACATACTAAACATTAGTAGAATTGGTAATCAATACATTCAGGCAGCGAAACCCTGGGAACTCATCAAAAAGGGACCCCAAGAGAAGTATAATTACCTGATTTATGCTTTATTTGTATTGATTTTAATTGACATTTGTATTGCTCGTAGAGCTCGTGCGGCCACTATAATGGGTTTGGCAGCAAATGTATCGGCTCTCCTATCAGTGCTGATCACACCTTATATGCCCAACACTTCGGCTGTCATTCAAAACCAATTGAATGTCAAAATTAATTTATTACCGAAAGATAATAGATTCCACTGTATTCTAAAGTCCGGGCATAAAATATCTAAGGTTTGTAGTAATGGTTTGCGTAAACTGTTATTCACATAAATTAACATTTGATTTATGCGTGCGTTTAAAGGCTGAGCCTCTGTTCAAGAAGTTGGAGGCGAAGGAAATCGAGTCATTGAAAGAGCGTTTCAAAGGCAAACAGGAGAAGACGGACACCAACGGTACCCCCGAAGCCGATCCCTTTGAAGGTCTGACCAGTGATGAGCTGAACGCGTGTCTCACAACACAAGCCGATAAAGTGAGACAATTGAAGAGTCAAAAGGAACCGAAACCAGTGATCGAGAAAGAAGTGAAAATTCTGTTGGATCTGAAGAAACGGTTGAGTTTACTCTCTGGGAATATACCGCAGAATAATCTAACAAATAGTAAGATTAAGAAGAAATAATACAATTATTTCTATTTCTTTAAATTATGAATTTTTTAAAGCAAAGGAAAGCTTTTTAATCTAGTTTTGAAGCTGTGTTTACCATTTGGTAATCACTAAATGTGTTAAATTTCATAAGAGCTGTAATCGAATTAATTTATGACTATTTATTAATCATTATATTTGAATTGAGAATAAAAGGCTTTTGTATTTTATACGTTGATTGCATTTTACTGTATGTGTGAACAAATGAACCAATCATTTCGTTAAGTGTATCCTAAACTTGACATTTATACCAATTTTTGTAACCATTTTTGCTTCAAATCCTGATTTGAAATACGGATCTCATTGTATGCATTAATTTAATGATTTGGTCATTTGATGTCATATATTTGCATTGATTTAGTGGTCATTTTTAAATTCTGCAAATGAAATATGTGTGATATTTGCCGGTTAACACACATTTCAACTATTTGTGGTTCAATATATTACCGTAATATTCCGTGCATTACCCGCGGGTTATCTATCGGAAAAAGTGAAATTTTTGGAAAATTCTTATGTGCGGGTAAATACAATTGGTATTCAGACAGTAAACGGGGTTGAAATCAAATTTATTGTCCATAAAGCGAGAGAGAGAGAGAGAGAGAGAGAGATTACACGATATGAGATGTATTTGTTATCCAAAAGTGTATGAATGGACACATATATCAAATTGCAAAGGATGACGGGTTGTGATGGCCGGTGGCAATCATACTCTCATCTACTAATTGTATGGTCAGAGAGAGAGAGAGAGAGTCAACATTATTTTGTTTCTATTCATTGAAATGAAGAATAAATGCATAGAAACATCGGTTTGAAAACACTTGACATAAGATTTAATTTATATCTAAAGAAAATAACCCTTTCGAAGAGTTTTGAGATTAAAGTAGGATTTATTAATTAAAACCATGTCTTAATTATAATAACTGCAACAATTACTGCAAGCATTTAACCATAAGATTAACTAAACTAAGCTCAAGAGAAGCTGGACCGTTGAATATCTGCTATAACTAGCAATAAATCACTAAAAATGTTTTGAGAAGTTTCTGGGAATTTACACTATTGTTATGTATTTCAATCTCATTTCGTAAAGCAATTGAAGTTTTTTGCGATTAAATACGAGTTCTTGAGTTCAATACAACAATAAAGATTAGATTGAAAGACAAAATACAAAACGACAGTAGAGTGTATATTATGAGCACAATTGAGACTTTATCTCAAGTGTGTAGAGAAAGTCAATAATATAATTGTTAAACTGTTTAAACCGTAAGTGTAATCACAATAAGTGTAGTTTGGATTAATTAACTTGTTTTTTATCTCTATGGGAATGATTTGAAACCTATATTCGCAACAAAAAAGCTAATTTATGTTTATATTGGGATGTTTTGACAATAACTGAATGAGAGTATGTTTGCCACCGGCCATCACAACCCGTCATCCTTTGCAATTTGATATATGTGTCCATTCATACACTTTTGGATAACAAATACATCTCATATCGTGTAATATCTCTCTCTCTCTCTCTTGATGAGAGTATGATTGCCACCGGCCATCACAACCCGCTATCCTTTGCAATTTGATATATGTGTCCATTCATACACTTTTGGATAACAAATACATCTCATATCGTGTAATCTCTCTCTCTCTCTCTCTTCCCTTTAAACTTTCTTTGTCTGGAATACAGTTTATTAAAGGACGAAAGTTTCAATGCAATAATAACAGCAAAACTGTTGTATTGAATGTTAAACCAATTTTCAATTAATTAATCCAATCGCCCGAAGACACGACCAAAGTCTGTGTGAAAAGCCTTGAATTTTTCGATCTATTTTCAAGTATTTATAAATTATTCTTTGATTTTTATTATTATTATTTCCATTCAATTAAATAAATGCAAAACCGGTTTAATTGTGGGAAAATATATATATTTAATTCACATTTATTATATTTTTATTAATGAATTAAATATGATATGGTATGTGATATGTTGTGATTCTCAATACTAAAAGTATTGTAACATTTTTTCAAAATAAAATCAATATTTAAATTTATTTCGCTGTATTTTATATAACATTATAAGTGATATGTAATATAAAAAATATTTTAAATAGTTTAGAGTTTTGACTAAATTTTAGTTTCATTTACGAAAATAGTTATTCATTATATGAATGAAATGGTTTTAAAAGTGAATTTTGTTCACATTTTTGCGACTACAGTATAAATAAGTTATATTTATCTAAAGGTATAAGACTTTACACTTATCCTAAACACTAAACACCAATTTCTATAGAAAAATATAAACATAAACTAAGTTTAAGGCATAATTCGCTCAAAATTAAAGCCCAAAAAGTGTTTTTCCATTTGAATAACAATTTTATGAATAACTTAAATGAGTGAATAAAAAGGATGTAAATTAAACGTGAATTCTATGTTAAATGAATGGCACACCAGTGGTTGGCTTTCGCTAATTCTTATGATATGTTAATACTTACAATGTTTTCTCTGACCATACAATTAGTGCTATAAAATTACAATACATGAACACATATTCGGATAATTTGGCATTACTTTGAGGACTCGTCTTGTTTGAGTGTACACTTTGAAAACATTGGCCATTCGTGTGATAATTATATGACAATTGCATTATTCTTGACAATAATTGGAAGTGATAACTATTTGGTCAATGAATTACTCTAAACCTATATGTCCAAAAGATTGAAAAAAGATTGAATTCCTAATGTATTGTCTATGGGAGCATACGGGCAAAGCCTACCCTTTTTGGACATCTAGCTCTAAACTATGAGTAATTCATTACTAACTTGAGCTCTAAAACCTACTTTTTGGTCAAATATTGAGCTTAAGATCTTTGAGCAGAATCTTTAAATTCATTGTAAATTACTTTGAATCGAAAGAATAATAATAATATTTAACACATAAATGATTTATAATAATAATATAAGTAAAATGAACGATATGTTGGACTAATAGCTGCTTACAAAACTTAAGGACATTCTTACAAATACCAGTATTTAAGATATTTAGGCAATATATTCATCGATATGTTTCCATTGATATATAAATTAAATAATTATAAACTTAACGAAAATGTCGTTTTGTGCTTATTTTGGCAAAAATGTCATATAAATGGTTATCTGGAAATATGTGAAGAATTGTCGTCATTATTACCGGAATTGAATTTTTTGTTTAACGTGTTGTCATATTTCGGTGGATGTAATTCATACTCTTTGAAGTACGGGTGCAGTAAAGCCTGTCTGGCGTTGATTCTCGAGTTGGCGTCAAATCTCAACATTCTCTGCAGAGATAATCACATTTGAGATACTCTTTAAGACATTGGAAATGACTGAATGCATACCTCCAGTAGATTCTTGCCGTCGTCGCAGATATCTCTGACAATGTCTTCAAAATTGGTTTTCTTAAAGTTGGAGAATGTATTCCATGGAAGTGACAGCTCTTTAGGCCATTCGCTCTGCAGAGGAGCGCCGATTATATTGAATATTTTGCACAACTGGTCGTTCTCTGATTGGCCGCAAAACAGTGGCAGTCGTGTGAAGAGTTCGGCGTAAATGCAACCGACACTCCAGATGTCGATAGGACTCGCGTAACTCGACTGAAGCAGTACTTCAGGCGCTCTGTACCAGAGGGTGACCACAACGGCGGTCAGCGGTTGGGTTTGTTGGTAAATGCGAGCCAAACCAAAGTCCGCGAGTTTGAGTTGTCCCTCATTAGTGACCAAAATGTTTGCCGGTTTGAGGTCTCTGTGAACGATGCGATTGGAGTGCAAAAAGTCCACTCCAGTCAGCAATTGGTACAGAAGTTCCTGCAAAATAGACAACAATTTCACAATTTTATAACTGTTTAAGCAATAAATAAGTGCACTATTTATCTATACTTTGATCCTATCGGGGCCTATGCCTGGCGCCGGACAGTTCACTAGATAACTGGCTAAGTCTTGCTCCACGTGTTCAAAGACGAGGAACAGAACGAGTTGTCTCTCGTGTTCCAGACGTTTGCCGTGACATATGTCCAGAAGCCTATCACAAATACACCAATCACTGCATTAGTGAGCGAATGGCACTCAATTGGTTGGGCAGTGTTGACACATACCTGACCACATTCGGGTGTTCAAAGACCTGCAACTGTTTCAATACAGTTATCTCTCGGAGTAAACTAATGGGAACTCCATCTTCGTTGAGAGGAATGCGTACTTTCTTGAGCGCAACCAACTGTCCGTCATTATTGAGATCCCGGGCCTTATAGACGGTTCCGTAAGCGCCGGAACCAATCAGTGCCACCTCTTCGTAGTTTTTATGTGAGCTCTGATTGTAATACAAACCAAAAAAAGTTAATCAAAAGTCAAACAAAACTATTAAAACATTGAATAAAAGTTGAGAACAAAGGAAGAGATGTTGAGATACAGTGTGTACTCAATATAGTGAACACGTATTCATTGATAGTGTAGTGAATGTCTCACTTGAATCATGTTTGCGGACCTATCCATCACGGGATCAGCCTTTTGTTCGCCAATGTTTGCCATCGTTTGGTGATTGTTGTGGTGACAGACACTCACTGATAGGCCGTCCCTGCGCTGGACGTGTTGGGGCCCAGACGTGGAAGTGGTGTGAAGATTGTCATCGGTGTGTGAGTGGCCAGCGGTGGTCATGCGGTCGGTTGCGGGCATTACTGTACGCTCGCAGTCATGCCATTCATTGCTTCACAAAACACATGCATTGAAAACATTGAATAACACAAAGAAAACACTATTTTTTGCTGCTTTTCCGCTCATAAGTCTAGCATTTGTTGCATTCATTCAGTCATTTCATTCATTCACTTGTTTTCAATGTCAGAACCAATACAGGAATGTTGTCCTCTCTCTCCTTACTTTTCACTACCAGCTCTCTCTCTCTCTCTCTCTCTCTCTCTCTCTTCCAAGTAATCACTCCCAGACATGACCAAAATCGGGCACAGTTTACACAAAAAATTGTTTGTTTAGGGTCGAGTGGTTTTGCTTATATATAATAATTTATAAATTATTAAAAATAAAACAATTATAGTAAAAAGTGTAATTTAAAAATATTTTATTTAAATTTTAAGGGTTTTTAATCTTAAATATAAAAATTAAAAAATAAATTATATTTAAGATCATTGATATATCACACTGAATGTGCATTAGATTTACTTTGAGTTAACCAGATTGTTAAAAAAAAACACTGCTATTAGATAGAAGTATTAATATATTGGTCAATTTTAATTGATTGGACAAAAAGCAATAATGTTGATTAATTAAATGAAATAATGAAAAGTAAAGTGGGGTTTGGAAGCAATGAGTGTGTGATGTAAATGTGTACCGAAAAGAGTGATGTCTGGTATTTATGTAATATTGTATCAAATATATGCTCATGTGATCATCGGATCCACTCATTCCACGTGTTTGAGCAATCATTTCGAGGCCTATTTAAGCCGATCCGACCTAACGGTGCAAAAACATATATAAGCGCTGCTATTAATCACTTACAAACTCATAATAACAACACATTATACTCACTATAACTTCACAATCAAAGTCCCGATTCTGTGGGGAAAAAATTGGCTAAACATTGTGTAAAATACTTCTCGTGTTATAT